GATAAGAACGTAGACTATTTCATTTAATAAATGTTTTGTTTTGATACATAAGTTGTTTGGGTTTTTTCATCTAAAAAACAAGCGACATTAATTTCTTGACGACCTAATACAATTTTACTTATCAATTTTTGTTAATGAATAAATACACGAAAAGTCATGCTAAAAATTAACTACGCATGCTCTAACCTATCAAGTAACACTAGTACTTAAAATTAATTGATGGGCGAGTGTGGAAATAATGGGAAATATTTGGAATTATTCACCTACTTATTAAAAATGCTAACAATAACATAATTATAGAAGAGAGTTTGTTAATTTATCATAATGTTATACTAAACTACAGCTAACACTGTGCTCTTAGAACTTATAAAAACGTACCCTTTTCTGCATATATGTACGAGGGCAGCTTTATTTTTATCTCAAATATATTTGAACTGTTTATATTAGAAGTTTAGACTTCCACTTGGGCATCCCGTGGAATAGCCTAGATTATCAGCCCACTGTTTTAAAGTAGTGCAATATTTCTCCGTTGATCCCCTTGTGCTACTCCCATGGGGGGTCCTAAAGGTTCATGTCAGGTTTGGTGACAATCAGTTCATCAACTATAAGCGGGCGGACACACACACAGACTTTTGTCAAGTAATGGTTTATATGAATACATATATAAATTAATAGCCAACAGTATTAATCTAGTGACTTATAAAATACTAACAGTATACAAATCTTTGAATACGAACCACTGAAGCAAAAATAACAGAAAAACAATTATTGTTGTAATAGGTTCCCCCGCTCCTTTACTATGGCCGTTTTTATGTTTTCTTATCTCTCAGAATTAGACACAGCTGTGCTATTACAACTTCCTGGATTAGCCATAGCAACCTTAACTGTTTTTGCTACATGTACAATCTTCAGCTTTTTAGAAAGTTAATTTGCTCAGTTCTTTTTGGTTTAATTGCCTCCTTTATATTTATAATTTTTACATATGTTACTTGCACAAATCTCTCTCCTTTAAATATCTCATTGCTCCATTTTCAATTTCTGCAATAATATCACTAGAACGAAACTAATAGATTACGAAATGTGTAACAATCCATGTTTTTGGATTCTTAGTAGAGAAAAACAGAACTATGTTTTTAATGTTAGGTTAAAGAACAAGTTGGTCTGATGTCTAGAGGAGAAATTGGCGCTCTAATATGGAATCGAAATGATGAAAGTTCCAAACAGGTAAGAAGGTGTAAGTATGTGTGTTATGTTCAAAACACCCCCAACCTTGGAATCAGTGAGACTAAGAAAAAAGCATAGAATAGAACACTTTTAATGGGAAATTTTCATTTATATGCATAGTTTAGACTGAAATGGAATCCTTCATTGATTAAAATCGAAATAATCATAGAATTGATAGGGTTAAAAAAGAAATAAATGCTATATTGCACCTCGTTGATTCTTTTACGTTAAATTTACATCTTTAGATTTTATATTAATAGTACAAATAGAGGCTTAAGAATTAATGCGTGTAAGCTTAAGAATAAATATGTTTGTTTTGCTTTTAAATGAAAATCCAGTCTTAGCTATCAACTTTATTAACATAGGTTTGTTTTAAATTTCTCAATAGGTGTTGTTGTTTGTACCCTTGCCAAAAATTAATGCTTATAATTAAATTATCCAAGTACATATTTAACACGTTATCTTCGAAAATATTATGGATCTTTTATGATACAGAGCTTCCACTGTTTTATAACATAACATTGATCTCTTTGTCTTGTTTACGTAGTTAGGAAGTCGTCTAAAAACGCCATCTTTTCCAATATGGGTTACACAAGCAGAGAATAAATATGGCGTCCTTTTTCACACACGAAGAGACCTAACACGTGATCACCGTGCGGAACATCGTTTTGATCTACACTACTACAATGGTTGCCCAGCAAATTACGAGCCAACAATACTGACACTGGGTAAGAGACGAGCAACAACAACAACAACAACAAAAAAAACAATTTTATTCGATGCAAATTCTCTGTAAAGCATTGGAGATGCAGTTTCTGAGTATAAAACAATTCTCTTTGTATAACAACACTTACACTATAAAAAGGAGATAATAAAGTTAAAATCAATTTGACCGTTTAAAAATGCATTTTTATATATATTGGGTGCTACAATTAATTATATAGTGTAATGAAAATATACATATATAATAAGAACTGTGTACACACAGTGTTCACCTTTACATTGTACATAAACAGTTGTTTTTGTCGTGTCTGGCGTGGTTAGGGCGCTCTACTCACAGTGTTCACCTTTACATTGTACATAAACAGTTGTTTTTTGTCGTGTCTGGCATGGTTAGGGCGCTCTACTCGCAACCTTTGGATCGCAAGTTTGAATCCCGTCATCGCACACGCTCACTCTTTTAGCCACGCGGGCGATATAATGTGACGGCCAATCCCACTATTCGTTGGTAAAGAGAAGCCCAAGAGTTGGCGATGGGTGAGGTTGACTTGCTGCATTCCCTTTAGCCTATCACTTCTAAGGGACGGGTAGCAGAGATAGCCTTCGAGTAGCTTTGCGCTAAATTCCACAAACAAACAAGTTTTTTTATTTATTTATTATCATGTAAAGAGTATCCTGAGAACAACAACAACAAAATCCAAAAAAACTGAAAGTGCAGATGCTGTTATAAGATGAGTTAGGTTAACAACATGATATTGAGTTATCTGTAAAGTGAACGTTTTTAATTACCATCAAGGATATATTCAGGATCGTTGCGCCTGGCAATGTGGGGGTTGCGAGATCAAAACCCATCGCCAAACATACTCGCCTTTTCAGCCATGGGGTCGTTATAATGACACGGTCAATCTCACTATTCGTTAGTGAAATAGTAGCCCAAAAGTTGACAGTGGGTGATGTTTACTAGCTGCCTTCTCTCCAGTCTATAACTTAAAAATTAAGAACGCCTAACACAGATAGCCTTCAAGTAGTTTTTCGCGAAAACTGAAGAAAACAAACAAACTGTAAAGCTGACACGTTTATCTGTCACGTGCTTCATATAGAGTATTTTCATTGTATAAAATCGTTTTCAGCAAAAATGGTATTTTTTTCTAAACGAAGAAGTGTTGCTATAAGCATGGGCGTCCACAGGGGACCAAGGGGGCACCTGCCCCTCCTGGAAAATGAGAAACATAATTATTTCTTTATTCATTCAGCATATGTATATAATTTTTTTATTCACTTCGTAATTTCACACTAATTTGCCCTCCCCTTGGAAAGATTTTTGCACACGCCCTGGCCTTAAGACAAAGATTTAACCCAATTGTGTTGTTGTTGTTTAGACCATACTGATGTCGAATATTTAAATTTCAGATACCAGGTTCAACAAAGGCCAAGACGAGTATCGGATGCCTGTGTTAGAGAGAGTTCTGGTATCAAAGTAGGTAAAGTTCCATGTTTTGTGTTCTATAGCAAAGTGGTACAGATCACTAATTGTTCTGGAGGCTCAACTCTCTTGCAACTCCTAATATTAACTAACGTAAAATTTAATCTAAAAATGTGAAAATCATAAAAACACGAATCAATAAGAAAGGTGTTAATTTACAATACAAAAAGGAAAACTGTTAAATCTGTCCCTGTCAATAACTAGTAATTTCAAAAGTTCATTCCCAACAGTTAAAGTTTGAACACTGGAGTCATATGGAGAGCTTTACTCCACTCATGTTCAGTGTGTGGAGTCTACACGTATAACCAGGAAGATGGTTGATGTGTTACAATATGGTTTTGGTAGACCACTTCTTAACCATCTGTCATAGTGTTTTTAAGATCTCCGTAAATAACTATTATAAATGGTTGATAAGTTTGGCTTTGATGTCCGACAAATACTCAACGTCAGTCAGTGACGTAAGTATGGGGGGGGGGAGCAGAGGTCCTGACAAACTTAAGAATTGCCCACAAGGGGAGAGACAAACAGTTTAATTTGTTTGAACTAAGGGGTGGTTGCACTATTCTGTTAACGATCAGCTGGAATCGTAACTACAATTATAGGTAAATAAATGTAGGGGGCCCATCTTTTGTAGTTACGCCACTGATGAATCTTTCATGAGCGAATTTTCTAGAACAAAATATTATTTTCACTTTTAAAAAACTCACAGAAGAAAAATTTTAGTACTTAGTATAACTTCTCTAATCAGAATAAATATTTTTTGTTAACAACGAATATCCTGTTAGTACGAACTGCTTGATCTCGATAATCTTTCCTCTTAGCAATAAACAATAAACTGACTTATTTATATATATATATATATATATATTTTAAGTCAAGCACAAAGCTACGCAATGGGCTATTTGTATTTGTGCCCTGCCCACCACGGGTATCGAAACCCGATTTTGGGCGTTGTAAGTCCGCAGACATACCGCTGTGCCACGTGGGGGGGGGGGGGTATTTATATACCTTTATCAATCAGAAACTGGACCTCATAAAAATACGAAGGAGAAATTCAAGATACAAAAAAGTTCCTCTTACGTCGAAATTTATTTCGCTAAAATGTGGCCTTCTGTTACAACAGAACTACTTTGTAATGAGAAAATGGATTACTGAGCAAACCAGTTTCAGCACTTGATCTCTATTTACGTAGTGAGTAAACGTATTTGTCTGAAATGTAAGATATTTGTACATTAAATTCTAGTTTCAGATTTGTTTTGGAATCAAAACATTGAATGTATACGTTGTAAAGTCGTATAATTATGGAAAGAAACAAAACGCACAATCGAACCCGGTGATCTGCTTATGTTCTCACTTTTATTCATTAAATTTAGGAATCATTTCTATCTGTTACGTCTCCGTTT